GAGTATGGTATTGGAGAATCTACTGTTAGTGAAATTTTGAAAGCAAAAGACAGGTGGTTGGCATTTGAAGACGACTCACCTCAAAAAAAAAATTTGAAACGAGAACGCAAAAGTTATTTTCCTCAAATTGAAGAAGCTGTGTCTTTATGGGCGGAGCAGGCAATTCAAGATGGAATCACTTTTAATGGTCATGTTTTACAAACTAAAGCGAAGAAATTAGCAGAGTTAATGAAAATTAAAAACTTTTTAGCTTCAGATGGGTGGCTCACTAAATTTCAACAACGAAATGATTTACGAGTTTATAAACGCAAAGGTGAATTAGATAGTGTAGACAAATTACAGCTTCCACAACAGCGCATTGAACTTCAACAAATTCTTTCGCGATATGAACTAAGCGATATATACAACTGTGATGAAACGGCTATTTTTTGGAAAGCCGAACCAAATCATACTTTAGCTCATGCGCCAATCTCTGGAGCGAAACGACTTAAAGATCGTGTTTCGATTATGATCACATGTAATGTAACTGGAGACCACAAGCTACCATTATTATTTATTTATCAAAGTCAAACACCTCGTTGTCTTAAAGAAATTTCAAAACCAAGCCTTCCCGTTTGGTATTATTGGAATGCCAAGGCTTGGATGGTGCGATCAATTTTTGGACATTATCTTAACCATTTAGATTCAATAATGAGACATGCTAATCATCAGATTTTATTACTCGCTGATAATGCAACATCACATAAACCCGAAGAAGTAATTAATACACTGACTAATATTAAACTTCATTTTTTACCTTTAAATACAACTTTTGTCTTACAACCACTTGATCAAGGTATTATATATAGCTTAAAAGTAAATTGATTCTTATTGTTATCTCACTTTCTTTAAGTAAATGGATTTTTGTTTCTTTAAGGACATTAAGCAATTTATCCCAATATTTTGCAATTTCTTTAGACTTGTTATTAATTAATGATTTCGCAACTTTAATTCTTCAGTTCTTTTTTTTTTTTTTTTTTTTATAGTAGAATAGCATTAGATGCAAGGATTTTATTAAGAATTATCAATTACATATACTGTATATTAAACATCATCTATTGCTATTACAACAGCTAAATGCTAGCCTATCTACTTGTTACCCCAGCGATACTAGTAATACTCATAAAGTGGGTTCATATTTTTGAAGGGGATCTAGCTAGGGGGTGGAAGTCCTATCGCTAGTTTAAACCACCTAACCTACCGGTTTAATTTGTAAGGGCAGTCAATATTGCTAACTATTTCCTAAGGTTACTTATCACATACACCTCATACCTTTTCATCCTGTGGCAGAGGAAGCTCCGACATCATATACTTACACTCCCTAGTGAATGCTCCAGCTTTTGGTCTGCTGGTTGGCGCTAGCTGCCAAATCTAGGGGCTTTTGTGGCCAAGTGGGGCACGACTTCTAAGAACCGTAGCTCTTTATCTTCTAGTAAACACTCCAGTTTGGAACTGGTTGGCGTTGGCTACCAAATCTAGGGGCATAAATGCCAAGCAGAGCGTAATTCCTACAAATAGTGATGGTTATGGTATATCCCCTGATTCATACCCACAAGATTTCGGTATCATAAGTGCTTTTTTCAAAGCTTCCTTATTCGCTAGTCAGCAAGGGGAGGAGGAAAAGGAAGTGGCGAATTGGAATTGGTTAAGATGGAGCACAGCCCAGTCTGTATATCCAAATAAGTGGTTGTGGTTGGTAGTTGATAAGGGTTAGATAAGATGAAGTACAGCCCAGTCTGTACATCCAAATATGTGATGACACCTTTCATTTGATGACCATCGTAACACCAGCCGGATGTTCGTCACACCACTTCGCCTTAACGGGAAGATCACAATCTCAACGCCTGCTGGATCAGCGTGTGAAATAGCTTCTTATGAGAAACAGCACATAATTGATTATGGTGCCAGATATCATGATGATCTATTCAATCACCTTCACATGGGATTGAACCGGTATCTTATGATCTGACCTGTGGAGCACTAACCACTGTGCTATGGACCCACAGGTCTTTCTTCAGTCCTTTTTCTTTATTATTTATTAAAAATTAATATATATAAAATAATATATATATATAAGTCTAGGTACCTTCCTCTTTGATAATAATGTAAGGCACCCAATCAGTTATGTAGTTGTTTTTATGAGGAATTAAAGTTTGGAGTCATTAAACTTAATAATTCAGATATTAGCTTGACTAATATTTTTTTATTTTTAGAATTTGAAAAAACTTCGTCCACCCTTAGTTATAATATTCAAGAAGTGTCTTTACAATATATTTCATTTCATTTCTTGTTTTTTTTTGGATTTGTTTCATAAACTGCTTTGTCTTTACCCTTTGTGTCTCTAACTGGTTGAAACCTTTGTTCTTATGGACTTAATTGACATTTGATACTTTTATAATCTTTGGCATTTTCATAATCTTCGGCATTAGTATTTTCAAAATATTCAGTATTAAAATCTTTGACAATATTATTATCGGAATTTTCATCTGGGACTTTTATTGGTATTACAGATATCCCAGATGATATGAATTCCCCAGATAAGCCAAATCTCAAAGATATTACAACAATCAAATTCTTTTCTAAATATGCTATTTTTTCCTTGAATTTTTTCTCTTGGGTGGCAAACTCTCCATTTATGTATTCTAAAGATTTTATTGTATTTTCTAAAGCATTGATCTTGTTTTCTAATTCGGTATTTGTTTTTTTTAGCTCTTCAACTTCTGTTTGCAAATTTTTAATTTGTTTATTTAAATAAATCAGTTGATTAGTAAAGGTAAGAT